CTAAAAGTTCTCACACAAGGAAAAAAATTCTTTTTCTTCTTTCTCTTTGTATTGTATCTATTCAGGATGGACGCTAAATAAATATACTGCAGTAATTATTTCACAATATATGTAAGTCAAACCATTATGCTCTGCAACTTCAATTGATACAGAGATGTATGTCAGTTTGTTCTCAAAATAAATAAAAGTTTTTTTAAGGACATTACAAAATATCTACCCTCTTAGCAAATTTTTAAGTATATAATAAGTATTAACTCTAGGCACGAGGCCCACACAGATCTCTAGGACTTACTCATTTCGCATGACTGTAACTGCCTGGCATATTCCTACTCCCACACTCCTCTCCCACACTCGCTTTGTCTATCTAACTTCAACTTATTTTTAAAGTCTTAAACATCTTTTCCTTAGGGAGGCTCATCCCAACACTTTAGACTAGATAATTTCCCCTTGATATGTTCTCCAATATCATCCCCCATCCTATCTTTTCATGCTCATCACATGAATGAATGGATTTTTTGCCTGACCATGCAAAAATATCTATAGTGGTATCTGCAATGAAGGTGCCTGCTGGAGTAGAGAAGGCACTCAACACGTCTTCCTCATATTCAAAAACATTCGACTGACCTGTTGGCCACATATAATATATGCATCCAGATTAAAGTTCAGTCTGTGAAACCCAAAAGCCTATTCTATCCCCAGACAAGACTAGGAACTTCGCTCTGAATTTTAACACAGATGGACTCTAACCCTGTGCTATGAAGACATTCACATAGCCAGGTATGACCAATGCCAGCAGCAAAGGGAGAACCAAAGCCACAAGCAATCTAGAGGTTAGAAAAAGTAAACAAAATTCCAAAACATACACTCAAGACCTGAGATTTTGGGTATATATTTATATGGCCCAGTCTGAGTCCCCTCCAGGAGTGACAGTTTTCCAATCACAACATTCACCAGATGTAGTAGACTTGAGCCCAAGAAAAAGGGGTCCCTGATGCACATTGTTAATAGTGTGGAAGACAAAAGTCATAGGAGGCTTCTGGGCACTGGAAGGGCTGATGTCAGGGGCTTCAGAGAGGGCAGGGAATCTATCCTGATTCAAATGGATACTGGAGGGTGAGTCTCAGACCCACAGACAGAGGAGAGGCTGGGGATCAAAGCACCTGTTTCATGTTTCTGCGTGAACTACGACATCTATAGTCACTCGTCCTCAGACATCAGCACTACTGGTTCTTGGACTTTCAGACTCAGACTGGGACTGTATATATCCCCCAATTTCCAGGCCTTCAGATTCAGACTGAATTATACCACTAGCTTCTCAGAAACAAGAGACAAGGTGAGCAAGAGATGGGACAGAAGAGATCAGTGTGAGTTCACTTGGGGGTCTGGGGTTTTCTGAATGATCCCTCTCAAGGCGGCAATTCTCCAAATCTACTGATGAAGCTATCCTCATCGGCATAGGGACTCTGAGCACCCCAGCCTGTGGGTTACCCTTTAGATCTTCAATGAGTTGAGCCCAAGTGGACTGGGCCAGGCAAGGTGGCAAGGATGCCCATCTTGAACCCACCTGAGTCATAAGAATGGCATCCAGCTCTTCAGAAAAAAATGGTGTGGCCCAAGGCATCCAATTATGCAACTAGCAGTTGTGGCACCCAGGTCTAAACTCTGCTTTTAAAATATATATATTATTATTGATTTCAGATAGGAAAGAAGAGGGAGAGAGAGATAGAAACATCAATGATGAGAGAGAATCATTGATTGGCTGCCTCCTGCATGCCCCACACTGGGGATCGAGCCTGCAACCCAGGTATGTGCCCTGACCAGGTATTGAACTGTGACCTCCTGGTTTACAGGTTGACGCTCAATCACTGAGTCACACCGGTTGGGCAAAATCTTCTTTTTAAGAATATTATTGTTACTCTGTACAAATTAAAATATATATGCCCTTTTCCCTTAATTCACCAGGATACGAGTCTGAATGCATTGACTCTTGTGGAGCATCGGCAGAAACTGCACCCAGGAGAAGGCCCTTGGGCTGAGAAGGGCCAGGCAAGGTTATCACCTGTGCACCCCACACCCACATGCTTACTCATCTCCATCATCTCTATTGTGGGTCCTTGGCCTCACAAATAATTTTAACAGCCATGTACACATATATGAATCCTGTCTTTTACTCAGTCCTCGAGGGTCCTGTTCGAGCTAAGACATTTTCTGATAGTTGTAGGATCTGACAGCACCTTTCTATTGTCTTCCATTCGGAACAGCTGTGTGACAGGGTTCAGCAGTCTTGGCTGTCACTCTTTTATATGAGGTTTCAGAATAAGTAGTGCCTCTTATTTCCCCAAGAAGACTGATATACCAGGGTAGTCTGAAGCCACCTGATTTTATTCCACTTAAAAGTGATCTATCTGCTCTCCTCTCCTTGGGAGATTTTTTTTTCCTTCCCATTTAGATATGTTACAATAATATGCCTCGTTAAAAGTTTCTGATGAATGTTACTCAGAACAAGATGAAACCTTTCCATTTCTAACCTCATTTATTTTCTCGGTCCTGGAAGCTTTTCCTCCCCTTCACTGTAGTGTATCGATTGTTTTGGTCGCAGGCAAGCTGCCTTTCATCCCAGCAACAGCCGGAAGTCAGCCTTGAGCATCAGTGAGACTGTCTATTTTTCCTATTCTTGTGACACTCTACTTTCTGAGGAATTAAAAAGTAATGAAAAATGTCAGAGAATAGTTAGAAAGACTGTAGATGGATCTATTTCTTGGTGGGGGAAAAAAAAGAATCCCAACGAAAGTATGCTCATATTGAAAACGTCCCACTTAACATAAGCATAGGATTCTGTATTGTTTCTCCTAGCTAATTTATACAAATGTATGTGTGCCCACTGTATTCAACTTAATATGTGTGTAGAAGATGACAAAAAGCTTGAAGTTTTTTTAAGCTGTGGGATGGCTTTCTTAAAAAAATGTTTTGTTCCCTCTAAGCAGTATAAAATAGCACAGAATGAAAAGAGAAATAGTATGATTGGTAAACAAAGCAGCTTACATAGATCTCCAGGTAAAAGGGAGCCCTCTCCAGGAACCTACAGTCACTTGATCCAGACACCTACATACTAAGCTCAGGAAGAAGTAGGTATAGTTATTACCTAAGGAGTTGAAGGTGGGGGGAGGGGAGCTGTGCTGTGTGAGCTGGGAGTGAGGAAAAGGGACTCACTGTGGGCCTGCAATGGCCATGAGGACACTTGGAGGAGGGCCTTGAAACATGTGAACTCTCACATGAGCTCCTTTCTGAGAAAAGTGTGTATCTGCTAGGAAGCCGACTAAGGTCAAGGTGTAGACCCAGCAGCACTTAAGCTTGGCCATGTGACAGAATCCCTGGAAGGCTTATTAAAACACAAGTTTCTGGACCCCAACCCAGAGTGTTTGATGTAGGGGATCTGAGGTGGGGCCTGAGAATCTGCATTTGTAACAAGTTTCCAGGTGAAGTCGATGCTGCTGGTCAGGGACCACACCTTGAGAACCACAGGATAGTGAAGACGGTGGCTCTGAAGACCCTGAACCCAGGTCTTGACCTTTATAGCATCAACAGCACTCAACTCTGCTTTAAGAATGGGCAGAAAACAGGCATCTATGGAGTCAGCAAAAGGAGGGATGAGAAGGTGGGAGCAGGGCCAAGTTCAACATGCTAGGTCCAGATCTGTGTCTGCAATTAAATTCAAAACAGATGAAAGACAGTGTATTAGCTATGATAACATATTGATGGATTTTTTTTAATTGCCAGATTTTACAAAGAAATCTCATGCAAATTCCACTGAGGAAAGAACCCTGCCTGGAATTGAAAGCACAGGACAAAAAGGGAGTGCTTTTAGGATTCAGAGAGGGTCCCCAACATTTCCTTCACTCATGTAGCCTGACCATTCATTACATCCTATGGGCACACAGCCTTTCATTCCACAAAGCGGACTCAAGGGTTGATGAGGGGCTGATGGGGTGTCTTAAAGGTACTGAGCAGCTAGGGCTAACCCAATGAAATCACAAACAGAGCAGGCTTTGATTAGGAACAGGGATTCCGCACTGGGTACCTGCCTGGTAGAACAAAATCGAGAATACAACAGGAAGGCGCAAGAAATGCAATAAACTTAACTCCTTACAATTGTGTCGTGGGCCATTTCCAACAAGCCTACTTTCCAGGGGCCTAGGTATGCAAACACTCAGGACAGGGGGCAACAGACACAGAGACCTCGGCAGGAAGGGCATCCTCCCAGCACTCATTCTTTGCAATGTGGAGAGAGATTGGCACTAGGCAGGAGCAGCAAGTCTACTGTTAAGAGGTTGACAGTGCTTAAAGGTGTACCTTACCAGTTGGGGAGCAATCATTTATCTTAACTCTAAAAAGAGGAGGTTGGAACATATCTGTGTCCCATTTTATTTTTTTGCAGTGGAATTCTCTTTTCAAACAAAATCTTAAGCAAAACCCAGTATCTAACATGTCTAACAGTGGAAGTGATCTGGCCTAGGGGCCCAGCAAGAGGCCCTTTCTCCATTCTTCTCACTCCCCGACCCTGTCATTCTCTTTAGAAGCATTTCTGAGACAAGGGAGGGTCCCACAGAACATGGCCCTGCTCTTCTCTGGCATGTTGTGATTCCACAATGTACATAAACCATCAAAAGTCATAGAATGGCAATACAAGCTTAAGGAGCAATTTAATTTTAAGACAAATGTAAGGAGAGAATGAAACCTGAAGAGAATAGGAAATAAATGCTGTGGCTATTGTCCAGAGTGAATCATGGAGACATGGAAGAAATTGTTCAGCTCTTTGAAAGGGAAAGCCCAGGATTCTCTGTCTAAAGAGGAGTGACAATCTTGCTGAACATCCTCTGGGACAAGGGTGGGATGAAAGAATCTGTCATTCACCTGCTAAGGAAGCTTTAGATATACATGAAGGTGACCAGGCAGCTCTGCTCATAAATGTGAACAAGAGCAAAGGTCACCATGTCACAAACCTTGATTCCAAGTTCGATGTTTTCTCCTCCATACACATCCATCCCAGGGTCTAGCAGACCGATTTCACCAAAGAACTTCCTGTTGACTACGAAGGAACAGCCAATCATTGCTGGTGTCCTATGGAAGAGAGAGAGAGATGCTAACGTGATTAAAATCATCAAATACTAGTATACACACTGGAATTTTATTCAGCTACTAGAAAAAAGGAAATCCCACCATTTGCATCAATATGGATGGGCCTGGAGGTCATTATACTAAGTGAGCTAAGTCAGACAATGAATGACAAATGTTTTCACATGTGAAATTTGAAGAAAAAAAAAAAAAAAAAAAAAGCAAACTTGTAGAAACAGGGGGAATTGTCTTACCACAGACTGGGAAGTGGGGGAGACGGGGAAATGTTAGTCAAAGGGTCTAAACTTTCAGTGGAAGGAAGAGGAGTAAGTTCTGGATATTTGATGTATGGCATAGTGATTATAGCAAACAATTCCGTATTATAAATTCTAAAGTTGCTAAGAGATTAGATTTTAAATGCTCTCACCACAAAAGGAAATAATGATTATGTGGTGTAATGGAGGTGGTAATCATATTGCAACATATACATGAACCAAATCAACATGCTGTGCACCTTAAATTTACACAGCATTATATGCCAATTATATCTCAATTTCTTAAAAAGATGCTAAAGTCATTGGCACCAGAAGCCCATCACAGGCACCATCCTATGGGGTGGTTCCACTTTGGCCAATGGAATAACTTGGGGCTTGGTTCCACTCTGGCCAATGGGATAACTTCCTGAAGGCCTCAGTTCCCATACCCCCGTTCTCCATATAGCTATGTTTTAGCTTCAGTCAAACTATGGGCCCCAAAGCATCTAGGGATAACTTGACACCTTTGCAGCTTGAACAAGAACAGGTCTCACATGTCAAGTGAAGTCTGCAAACATAGAGACTGGTTCTCTCTGCATGTCTGGGACAGCTATGTGACAGGATGGGTGCATGGGAAGTCTCAGAGAAGCTCAGAGGAGAAGAACAGATGTGTCTATCTCCTGTTCCAGGAAGAAGGGCTTTACCAGTTGGGGACATGGAGGGAAACTGGAGAAAGGAAGGTCAACAGGAGGAGGTCTAGACTCCACATTCCGATGGGAGACAGTGGATCAGAATGCTGGTCCTCACGGAGGGGAGAAGACTCAGAGGAGACACTGGTGTCTCAGTCCACAGAGGAGGGGTACTGAGCGGGAGAGATGAAATGTACTGACAGGGTGACCATTGGAAACAAATCTTAATATTTTACTTTTGTATATATGAATCTTCTAGATTATTTCTTCTGGAGTAGGCTTAAAGCACAAGTTGAATTCAATGAAAATCGGAGACAAAAACCATCTGAGGTAACACATCATGGATGCATGTGCAGAAATTGATGGAAACGCAGCATTGATCTACAATGTTCATGGCAATTTTGCATAAAGCATTGAACCCAGCATTGCTAATAACGGACAACCACTGTTACATTTTACATACTGCATTGTATTATATTACCTCCTGCATTGTAGTGCAATATCAACAAATTCTTTATGTCTTTTCATCTCTGCTTCCAGACTTCCTACATACCCTTGTATAATAAATCCATTCAGCAAATATTTTCTCAGCACCTACCCTATCAAAGGCATTTTACTGGTGCTGTAGGGGGTAGAAAAACACACAATATACTTCCCGCGTTCAAGCAACTAAGAGTCATCATCATTATTACTATATTATTATTATAGCAGCTCTTTATTGAGTAATTACTATGTCTTCAGCACAGTGCAAAGCACTTTTTCACACACTGACTCAGTTAGAAACCACCACAGCCCTGCGAAGGAGAGGCCATCTCCACCTAAAAGCCAAGCCCCGCGGGCATGTAGTGGCCTGGCCCTGAGTCACAGAGTAGGGCTAAGAGACCATTCAGCTTCAAAGCCCTACTGAAATGTGGCACCCTCTAGCCATGTGATATGTGGCATATTCCAGCCACGGCTCCATGGAGGAGCTGGCAACCCCTAAGCTTCCAAACACCAGACGTGCCATTAAGATGCTGTTGTGGGCAAAAGAGACATCTCATAAGGAGGCCCAGTGAAACTCCCCTGGGCCATTAGGAAGGTACTCAATGACATTCTCTGGAGCTGAACTATAGACCTCAGTCTCAGATCCTCATCTGCTCCTTCTGAGCTTGACTTTGACCTCATTGTCCACGTTTCTGACTCTATGGAATTTCTCCTGCTTTCCACAAGCCAGGGCAGCAGTAGGGCATGCTGGAAATAGCAGTGTTCAGAGTTGAAAGAACCCAGGGTGAATGCTGATACTGCCACTGGAGAAGGTACTGGGTTAGGTTAATGGAGCACCCTGGGTCCCAGTTACTTCTGTACAGCATGCTACTGTGAAAAGATGTGAGATAAGCCCAGCGCACAAGGCACAAGCTCAGCAAATAATGCTCCTTTGCCCTCTACTGAGGCTCATCCAAGCTTTTCCAGAAACTTTCTAGCAGTCATACCTGTGTATGTGGGGCACTGCCCTCTACTGGTGCAGATGTGCCACCCCAGCTACACCTGGGACAGCAACCACTCACTGTTAATCATTTCTCCAGCCCTTGACCCCTCAAAGAGAAGCAGTAGATCTGCAGCCTAGAAAAGCACTGTGTGAGCCCAATCTCCCGCATCAATCAACAAAACCTAAACAATCAAATTATGTTTTTGCTGAAACTTGGAAGTGAGGCAGTGCTGGCTGCTAGAACGAGGTGGTCTCATCCATATGCAGGAACAGGCCACCATAGGGGACAGCTCTGTCCATGTGCATGTGGATGATGGCACATAGGGAGCAAGGCAGGTACACAGTGGAGATCTGAGGCCAGAGGGTGGGGGCTGCCTGGCGACTTCAGCTGCCCATCTGCTGAGAGGTGTGGCTCCACTCTCTGCCGGGGCATGTGGGAGTCTCCTGTCTTTGTGGTCTTTCTTGACTTAAACCCTGTTAGACAGGCTTCTGTTCTTGCCACCAAACTGTGATGATGACACATGTGTCCCCTCCTACTTATGACCCACGGTGGGATGGGGGTGGTAGCCCATGGCCAGGAGAGGCACACTTTGGGGAAGATTCATTCTGGGAGAGCTAAATGCCAGGGTCCACCCTTGTGATGGAGAAATGCCACAGAAACTCATGCTCAGAGTATGGAGGTGCAGCGTGGGAATGCAGGAGTCTGCAGAGAAGGGGGGGCAGGAGGCAGCCTGGTGTTAAGTCAGTTTTCTAGAGAGTAATTGCTGAGCACAAACAAGACATTCTTGTAAGTCACAACAATCCCCCATAAAAGCTTGTGCCTGGTATCTGAAATTGTCTGATGTTAACACCCATGTGAAACTAAGATCCTTATCCAAGACTCTGTACTTCCTAACCTCTTAAAGGCAAGCAGGGCAGTTAAAATCACAAGGCACAGTCAACCAACACTCCGAAAGGGTAGCTTTGGACACTGCCTCATGGGGAAAGCAATGTTTCTTTGAGATTGACTCAGGGCCCACCTGGACCCACCTGCATCAGCTCCACCTGCACCAGCATCACTTGGATGGTCCCTTAGAAAATGCAGATTCCTGGGTGTGGCCCGGGATCAAGGAACCAGGTTAAAAAGACTAGACTCAGATATATGTGTTTGTAGCAGAAAAGTCATCTCGCTCCCCCCATCAATAGAGAGGTTATCCCTCTAATTTCTTAATTTGCCATTGTATTCCCAGGAGCTAGTGCCTTGCCTGACACAGAGCACTTGCTAGATCCTGTTGAAAAAATAAATTAGTGTAATGACCATGCTGCCTGTCCCTGGTGGGGAAAGGGTCAGGGATAGCTGTCTGAACTGAATCAGAACCCAAGGACAGCAGGGGAGTGTGCTGTAGCTAGGGCCAGAAGGGGGAGATGAAAGAAGGGCAGAGAAGAAGAGAGTAGGAATAGTGCGGTCAGGTGGAGGACGGAGGGGAGGAAGAGGAAGGAAAAAGAGACGAAAGTGCTGGAGGAAAACAGGGAAAGTTGGGAGAGAAGGGTCCAAAGCACAACCTTTCCCAGTCAAGGAGGGCAGTCTGAATCCCTGTCCTTCCAGATCCTTTCAGGTTGCCGTGGGGAGACACCTTCCTCTGTCAAGCAGCCTGATGCTTCCATAGAACTGCTTTATGGAAATATAAGGATAGTGTTGGTTATGGTGGTGTGAAGAGAATTCACAGTATGAGTGCCTTGGGTCCTCTATGGACTGGTTGCTGTTCTGTTCAGCATATTTGGCCTGGTTCCACCTCAGAAGCCCTGGGATTCCTCATGGCAGAACCAAGAGGTCTCCTGGGGCCTTCTCATAAAAACCAGGCCTCAGCAGATGCCCTAGCTGACACAAGGGCCCCCAGGAGGCCACGGCAAAGCAGGCCTCTGTCTGCATCCGAGCCAGTGTCAGAACCCAAAGACGAAGGACAGGAGGCGGCTCCTAATGCAACATGGAATGAACATGTAAAATGATCCCCTAAAAGCCAAGGTTAAAAGTCTGCCACTGTGTCAAGAAAAACGCACCTGACGGGGATGGTGGGAAAGAGGCCGGCAGCAGCCTAGAAACCATCTCTGGAGGGAGGCAGCCTCCCCATACAGCCAAGACCCCAGTCCTACAAACAGCAGGTTCAGAGGTCTGCCCTACAGTCAGGCGGCTAATGGATAATGGGTGAAGGTGGAGACTAGATAACTAAGAGACATGTTCTCCCCCACAGGTAGGCCAATTCTGGAACTACTTGACTGGCTGACAGAGAGCCGCTGTCCTCTGTATGGGGAGAAACAGGTCTCCAACAGAAAGCCACCTCCTGGCCCCACTAGTTAGCCAGGCTTGACCTGGCTACCCAGCACGCCCACCTACCCCTCCAAGGCTCCCTTGATGCCTGCCCAGCCACACGAGGCACAGTCAATGGCACTTCAGGGTTGATAAGATTCTGGAACATGAGCCTATGGCCTCATTCTTCACACACAATGGCAGCAATTACCACCATTCATGCAAACATTTCCAGTCAAAATCACTCAAAGATGATCATCATATTAAAGGGATCTGCCACAGTCTAATAGCTCCATTACATAGAAGAACAGAAA